CTCAGGCAATCCACTCACCTCAGCCTCCCAAAGGCGCGGGATGACAGGCTGAGCCCGGCGGGGTTATTTTTTATACTGTAATAATTTCTATACTTTGAGAATGCATTATTTTATAGTCAAAAACAAAATAAATAAGAATTAATTTTTTGCCTGTCAGTTCATCTAGTTTTTTAATATTTTTCCTTTGTGCATTAATGTGTAGGTGAGGGTTTGAATCTGCATCCCCCCCACTTTTTTCTTTTCTTTGTCCTTTTCTTTCTACTTTTGTTTTTTAGTTTCTGTTCATGTGTGTATGTGAATGATTGTGTTCATCTTTCAGTTTTTTTGTTGTTGTTGGTTTGTTTTTGCTCTTTTGTTCTTGTCTTTTTAAATTTTTTTTTTTTTTTTTTTTTTAGTTTAAGGTGTGTGTCGGGCTGGGCATGGTGGCTCATGCCTATAATCCCAGCACTTTGGAAGGCCAAGGTGACAAGATTGCCTGAGCCCACGGGTTCGAGACCAGCCTGGGCAAATTGGTGAGACCTCATCTCAACAGTAATCACAAAGCAGCTGGGTGTGGTGGTGCACACCTGTGGTTCCAGCTACTTGGAAAGCTGAGGTGGAAGGATGGCCTGAGCCCAGCTGGTTGAGGCTGTGGTGGCTGGGAGCATGCCACTGCACTCCAGCCTGGGTGATAGAGTGAGACTCCAACTGAAAAAAAAAAAAAAAAAAGGTATGTGTCACTATATGTGTGAGGGTTCAATTTGAATTTTTTTCCCCTGGTCTTTCTCTTTTTCTTCTCCATTCATTGTGTGCTACGCATGTGTGTGTGTGTTTAGCTTTCCCGGGGTTTTTGTGTTGTTTGTTTTGTTTCACTTTGTTGTTACTCCAGTTTGTTTTGGGGTGTGTGTGTATGTCCGTGTGTGTGTGTTCAATTTTCCTTAACTCACCATGATGTTGTCTTCAACTTCTGCTCTTATATAGGGTCCCAAGAGCCCCAAATGTTCATTTAGTTCTCCACGGTATAAGGGCTGCGTAAAGGAGCCATCAGTGAATTCCTGGAAAACCACCTTCTTGAACTGAGGGATACTGTCACTCTGAGCCCTAGAGAAAAAAGCAGGGAAAAACAGTGTCCTGATGGACCAAATGGGTAGAAGCGCCTCACAGCCTTGCCTTCTCTGTATTTGGGCTACATTAGTGGAATCAATGATGGGTTGCAAGTATAACAGGGCAGAGAGGAGAGCAGGAGGGATCAAAGATAACTTTCCGGGCTGGACACGATGTCTCATGCTTATCCTCCCAGCGCTTTGGGAGGCTGAGGCAGGAGGATCACTTGAGCCCAGGAGTTTGAGGTTACTGTGAGCTATGAACATGCCACTGCCCTGCAGCCTGGGCAACAAAGCCAGATACTGTCTGAAAAAAAAAGGAAAGAAAAGAGAAAAAAAGAGATCACTTTCAGGTTTCCAGTATGGGCAAACGGGTGAATGGTAATGAAATTTACTGAGATGGAGGACCCTAGAGGAGGTTGGGGTCTACATGGTTTTGAGCATATGGGACATCTATATGAATTAAATCCAGAGGTCAAGGTCAGGTGCAGTGGCTCACGCCTATAATCCCAGCACTTTGGGAGGCCGAGATGAGAGGATTGCCTGAGCCCATGGGTTCGAGACAAGCCTGGGCAACTTGGCGAGACTTCATCACTACAACAACAACAACAAAAATTAGCCGGGCATGGTGGCGCGTGCTGTAGTTCCAGCTACTTGGAAGGCTGAGGTTGGAAGGACCGCCTGAGCCCAGCAGGTCGAGGCTGTGGTGGCCATGAGCGTGCCACTGCACTCCAGCCTGGGAGACAGAGTGAGAACCACACACACACACACACACACACACACACACACACACACACACACACACACACAAATTCAGAGGTCAGAAGCTCACAAAAGAAATCTAGATAAATATTATCTGTACTTAGATGGTATTCAAGTCATGTGAGTGGTCTATACAAGCCAATACTCAATTTTTATGTCCTCATTTTGCTAGGCATCTAAGAAGCATTTTGCATAGTTAAACACTCCATTCTCCTTGAAATACTCTCTCCAGGCTTCACTGGTATGTAAGTTCAATGAAAGCAAGGGTTTTTGTCTGTTTTGTCCGCTGCTGTATTCCTAGCACCTATGACAGTGCTTTGCACAAAGTAAGTGCTCAAGTAATATGTGTTGAATGGTGAATGAATGGACAGTTTATAAACATACCCCAACAACAAGACAGCCTCAGGGTCCTGTCCTTGGATTGCTTTTATCTACTGTTTAAAAAAAAGCTATGAAAATTGTGAACTAAAACATATAAAATAAAATGCGTAAAGCATAACCACCTTTGGTACCAAAAAGCAGCCATCAGCTAGATTAAGAATATTGCTCACAGCTGGACATGGTGGCTCACAACTATCATCCCAGCACTTTGGGAGACTGATCTTTCCTTTCTTCATTTAGGTAGTTCCTTATTTTCAGAGCGAGCACATATGTTTGCCAGTTGTCACTAGAGATGGTTTTCTCTCGCTCTCTCAATTAAAAATAAATGCTTTTAAGAGAGTGGATTTTAGAGATCTACGCCATTATTTTCTTTCTTTTTTTTTTCAGTTGAATTCTCAGTCTGCCGCCCAGACTGGAGTGCAGTGGCCACTCCCGGCCACCGCAGCCTCGACCTGCTGGGCTCCAGCAACCCTTCGGCCTCAGTCTTCCAAGTAGCCGGAATGACAGGCGCGCGCTACCACGTCCGGCTGATTTTTTGATTTATTGTAGAGAAGAGGTCTCGCCAAATTGCCCAGGCCGGTCTCGAACCCGCGGGCCATTGTTTTCATACAAATGCCGATGGCCCTGTTCCCCTCCAAGCATTTAGAGCAATGAGTAAACAGATCAGTTAGTTATTCGCAATGGCCGGGCGCGGTGGCTCACGCCTGTAATCCCAGCACTTTGGGAGGCAGAAGCAAGAGGATTGCCTGAGCCTAGGGACTGGAGACAAGCCTGGGCAACTTGGTGAGACCTCGTCTCTACAATAAATCAAAAAATCAGCTGGGTGTGGAGGCGCGCGCCTGTAGTTCCAGCCATTTGGAAGACTGAAGCCGAAGGATCGCCTGAGCCCAGCAAGTCGAGGCTGCAGTACCACCGCACTCCAGCCTGGGCAAAAAGACTCACTGGATGTCCCTTTTCAATCAGACTCACTCTCCACACTAAAGGTAACCACCATTCTGACATTTATGATAATCATTTCTTTGCTTTTCTTCATAACTTTACTACTTACGGATGCATCCTGACAAATATAGTATAGTTTGACCCGTTTTTATCAAAACTACTCTTCTGTGACACTTTTGTAACAAGTCAAATGTCTGTATGTGTGTGGGTCTAGTTTTAGATTTTCTATTCTGTTCCATTTACCTATTTGTTTATCCCTATACAGGCTACCACATTGTTTTAATTACTACAGCTTCAAAATAAGTCTCAATTTATTATATAACAATTCCTATCAACTTGTTCTTCTTCAAGCGTGTCTTGGCTATTTGTAAGCCTTCACATTTTTATATTAATTTTAGAATCAACTTGGTCTCTACAAAAGAAAAGACTAAGATTTTCATTCAGGTTGCACTGAATCTATAGATAGTTTGGGAATAATCTATATTTTCATATGTTTTCCAATTCGTGTACATGGCATTTATATCTTGGCATTTATTCAGGTCTTCTTTAAAATTTCTCAGTAGACTTCCATAGTTTTTCCATAGAGGTCTTGTATAATTTTAGTGACAGTTGTTTCTCAGCACTTGTGACTATTTTATTCCATTATTTATTTTATGTTTACTTCCTTATTGTGTCTCACTTAACTGACATACTCAAATCTAACTTTCCACCTGATTAAGGCTCTCCCAGAAAGTGGCTATCTTGGCTTATGACCTCTCTCAAGGGAGAGACCCAAGACTGAATGAGAAAGAAACCCTAACAATAAAAATCACAATGGGGGCCATCTTCCATCTTCTTACCAGAAGGAAATCAATCTCCTTGAGCTCAGCAAACTCGCAAGAAATGTGTGATATATGAAAATCCAACACAGGTGCAGAACTAGCACAGATTTGGCCTGGATGATTCAGAAGAGCTACCCCAGCAGTGATGTCAGATTCTTCCATTAGTGAGTCATTTTTGCTGTCACACACAGGTCATTTTGCCATGATAAATATCCCTGACAGACACACCATTGTCTCTCTCTCTCTCTCTCTCTCTCTCTCTCTCTGTCTCTCTCTCTGTGTCTCCCTCTGTCTCTCTCTCTCTCTCTCTCTCCAGCAACTTGTCACTATCTTTCTTTCTCTCTCTCTCTCTCTCTCTCAGTCTCTCTCTCTGTGTGTCTCTCTCTCTCTCTCTCTCTCTCTCTCTTTCTTTTGAGTCAGAGTGTCACTCTGTTGCTCAGGCTGGAGTGTAGTAGCATGCTCACAGCCACTGCAGCTTCAATCTGCTTCAGCCTTCCAAATAGTTGGGACTACAGGCACACGCCACCATGCTCAGCTAATTTTTTGATTTGTTGTAGAGACGAAGTCTTGCCAAGTTGCCCAGTCTGGTCTCGAATCCCCGGGCTCAGGCAGTCCTCTTGCCTCCACCTCCCAAAGTGCTAGGATTACAGGTATCAGCCACCGTGCCTGTCTAAGTCCAATATTTTCTTATTAGTTTCTGTCTGGATGATCTGTTTATTGTTGAAAGTGGGATCTTAAAACCCTCTACTATTATTGTGTTGGAGTCTATGTCTACTTTCAGATCTCTTAATGTTTGTTTTGTATATTTAGGTGAGTGAATGTTTTGTGCATATTTACAATGGTTACATCCTCTTAATTATTGACACTTTTATTACTATATGATGACCTTGTTTGTCTCTTTTTATAGTTTTTGGCCTAAATTGTATTTTTCTGAAACAATCACAGTCACCCCTTCTCTCTGTTGGTTTTCATTTGCATAAAATATTTTTTCCATCTCTTTCAGTCTACAAGTGTCCTTTAAGATAATGTTAATCTCTTGTGGGGAGCATATAGCTGGCTTTTGTTGTTGTTATCTATTCAGTCACTGCTTTTTGATTGGAGAATTGATTCCCTTTAACTTCGAAGCAATTATTGATAAATAAGGACTTACTAGTGTCATCTTGTTAATTTCTGGTTTCTTGTTTGTGTAGATCCTTTCTTTCTCTCTTGATTTCTTCCTTTGTGGATTGATGGCTTTCTGCAGTGGTATGCTTTGGATCTTTTCTTTTTATGTTTCATGTATCTATTACAGGCTTTTGCTTTGTGGTTACTCTGATGCTTACATAAAACACATTATAACAGGCTGTTTTAAGATGATAATTTTGATAGCTCCAGAAACTCTACACTTTTATTTAACTCCTCCCATGTTGTTTTTGATGTAATAATTTGCTTCTTTTTATAATTTGTACTCCTTAAAATTATGGTAGCTTTGTTTTTAATAGTTTTATCTTTTAACCTTTATACTAAAGATATAATTGATTTATCCACTGCCATTACAGTATTAGAGTGTTTTGGCTTTATTTTCATTTGGTCCAGGGCTTGGGAGAGGACGCCAAGGTGGTTAAAAAGCTGACTAGTGGAGGGGAAGGCTCAGACAGAAGCCCTGATACTTTGAGGGGGTCCCCCAAAGGCCGCTGGACTCCTAATCATGCTTGAAGGTGAGCCTTTGAAGAGATACTCGCCCAGCCCAGGCTCGGCCCTCCAGCCTGTGAAGGTTGGCCAGGTAGGCGCCCATCTTCTTGATGAGTTTCACTTCCTCATCTAGGAATGGGTTCTCCAGGAAGTCACAGAGATGGGGGTCTGTGTGAGTAGATCCCAGGGCATGAAGGTCCAAAGGACTTGGTTCAGGTTCTTTTCCAAGGTCATGGTGGCTTTCGCGGCATCCAGGGTTTTTTTGTTTTTGTTTTGAGTTGGAGTCTCACTCTGTCGCCCAGACTGGAATGCAGCGGCCGCTCCCGGCCACCACAGCCTCGACCTGCTGGGCTCCGGCGATCCTTCCGCCTCAGCCTTCCAAGTAGCCAGAATTACAGGCATGCGCTACCACACCCAGCTGATTTTTTGATTGATTGTAGAGATGAGGTCTCGCTGCCCAGGCGGGTCTCGAACCCGCGGGCTCAGGCAATCCACTCACCTTAGCCTCCCAAAGGCGCGGGATTACAGGCTGAGCCACCGAGCCTGGCTAGATGTTTTAATGATTATATCTGATGATTCCAAGATCTTAGGTCTGTAAGTTTGTTTTGGCTCTCTATTGTTACTGATACATCTTGCTAGTTTTTTCTTGTTTCCTTTTGTACCCAGTATCTTTATGTTCTAAATATTGTATCTGTAATATTTATGAAAATAATTTGAGGCCTAGTATGTTGCTTTCTTCTCTAAACAGTTTTTATGTTTTCATCTGCCAGATGTCTGAGGGCACTGCCAGCCCAAGGCCAGCTTACATTATGATCAAGAATAGAGGTTTCATGGACAACAATAATGACAGAAAACTGGACAAACTGGACTGCAGGTTAGCGGAGTGCAGGTCAACTAATTCACCATTACCTTGAGGATGTTTCTCTTTGGAGACCAAGCTTAAAGTGGGGGTGGTTTACATCTACTTCTATTTTCTTGGTTATCTCACCAAGTGTTATTTGAATACTATCTATATATTTATGACTTCCAAATTTATATCTTTCACACTGACCTCTTCCTTTGACTTCAGACTCATACATCGGAGTGCCTGCACAACATTCCAGTTTGGAGGTCTAATGGGCATATCAAACTTCATATGTAAAAAGCAGACCCTTGAGTGTTTCTTCAAATAAATCTGTTCTACCTCAAGCCTTCCACCTCTCGGTAAATGAAGCCATCGATCACCTACTTGCCCAGAACAAAAATTAGAATTTTCTTTACATCCTGTCTCCTCGTTCTTTCCAACTCAACTAACAGCCAGTCTTATATGCTTATCTTAAGTTATACCCAACATCCTTCCATTTCTTTCCATTTCCGTCACCACCACACTGGTCTACATAGCCGTCTTCTTTTATCTGTATGAATACAGCACCCTCTTAATTGGTCTCCCTGCCTTCATTCTTGCCCATGGATGCTGCATGACAAAATTCCATATAATTGGTGTTCCTTGGAGTTCGAACACACATGAAAGACCTGCTTTTGCTTCCTTATACCCATCATTTACTGATACATTCAACATACTTTTATTTGAGCTTCTTTCATGTGTCAGGCAGTATCCAAGGTTCCGTAGGTATACTAGTGAACAATACCTTCAAAGTTTGTGCTCTTAATGAGCTTGTCTTCTACTTGGATAATATAGACAATAAAGAAATAAATATATAGTATTTCACATGCTGATAGGTGCATTGAAAAAATGATGGGCCGGGCTCGGTGGCTCAGCCTGTAATCCCGCACTTTGGGAGGCCGAGGTGAGTGGATTGCCTGAGCCCGGGTTTGAGACCCGCCTGGGCAACTTGGTGAGACCTCATCTCCACTATAAATCAAAAATAGCCGGGCATGGTAGCGCGCGCCTATAGTCCCAGCTCCTTGGAAGGCTGAAGCGGAAGGATCGCCGGAGCTCAGCAGGTCGAGGCTGAGGTGGCCGGGAGCGTCCATTTGCACTCCAGTCTGGGTGACAGAGTGAGACTCCAACTCAAAAAAAAAAAGAAAAGAAAAAATGATGAGTGTGATATTTATACACAACGTTCATGGAAAGCTTCATTAATAAAATGAAATTTGCGGCTGGGCTTGGTGGCTCAGCCTGTAATCGCGCCCCTTTGGGAGGCTGAGGTGAGTGGATTGCCTGAGCCCGCGGGTTCGAGACCCGCCGGGGCAGTGAGACCTCATCTCTACAATAACCGGGCGTGGTAGCGCGCCCCTGTAATTCCGGCTACTCAAAGGCTGAGGCGGAAGGATCGCCGGAGCCCGGCAGGTCGAGGCTGTGGTGGCCGGGAGTGGCCACTGCACTCCAGTCTGGGCGACAGAGTGAGACTCCAACTCACAAAAAAAAAAAAAAAAAAAAAAAAAAAGAGGCTGTTGCAATATTTTTGGTGAGAACTGTTGATGGTTTAGACCAGGACGGTAGTCACTGGGGTGTAGAGAAGAGGCTGGATTGTGTGTGTGTGTATGTATACAGTTCATCTTATTCTTTTAATAGCCGTTTATTATTAAAGAAGCAGTGCATATGCAGTGTAAATAATTTTTAAATGCAGGCAAATGACATTAAAAAAAATAAAGATGGGCAACCCCTTCGGGTCCCCTCCCCCTGTGGGAGCTTTTCTGTACTCTCAATAAATCCTGCTTTCTAAAAAATAATAAAAAATAAAGACACCACATGTACATTATCTGTCAAAGGTTACCATAGCGGAACAAAAGAATAACCAGTAAACTCGTACCTGTTTCTTAGAACATGGGGAGATTTACTCATCCCATAATCCCAGAGCCGCTCCACTGCAGCAATAAAATAGTGTCGTACTTTCTTCTGAAAGCTGCGGGGACCCTGATTTTCATCCTCACCATAAATGTCAAAATCTTTTTTCATTTCAGTTGAGATGGTATCATCATAGTCAATTTCTTCTTGATCTGACTGAATAGTAGGTGTTATTTCCCTTTGATGGCGTTTCAAGACTGATGGGTTTTGAGAGCACCGCCTTCCAGTTCCTCCTTGGTTTGCCCAGGTGGCTTCTCTTTGGGGCCCACCTTGTCCCTCATTTATTGCTGCTATGGCATGATTGTTTTCACAAGGGTTCGGGGACAAAATGGTGTCCTTTACCTCAAAAGCTGTGTTTTCTGGTGCCTTCTCTTGGAATTTCCACTCTTCTTTTGGTATCTGAGTATCATCTTGATTATCCCAAGCAAGAGGATTTAGCAACTTGGAGGAAGTCTTTGTGGAACGTTCTGTCAACCCTTTCAGAAAGTGAATTTTTCCAGGCCTATTTGCTTTATTCCACTTAATATCTCCCTGTGTTTGCTGAGGAAGACTCTGTTCCATGAGCTCCTGGTGGCCAGGCGGCCTATTGCTAGTTTCTGTAGGAAAAAAGTTCTCCTGATAAATGAATTTATCAGGAGATACATTTCCTTTGGTAAGCAATTCAACTTTGCTAGATGTTCCAGGCAAGTCTGATTTCAAGAGAACAGCATTCTCAAGTTTTTTGTCCATGACTGAGTTTGTGTCATTTTCCCCCAGGGAGCCAGCCTCTCTTTGACCACCAATCATCTCCAAGGTTAGAATAGCTAAAGAAATGTTATTTCCTTTGGCTCCTTGTAAGAAATGACTGGTTTTTTGGACCCCAGAACTTTTCTTCCTACAGGCTAATGCCAGAAGATGAGAAGCATTGTCTTGGGGTGGGATCCTAGTCAGGTCTGTAGGTCTAATAGATTGAAATGCTGATACCCTGGCAATGGGCAAAGCAGATCTATTCATCTGAGTGATGTCATGACTCCTCATAAGACAATCTGATGAGGAAGATTGAGTGGTGGCCCTTTTCTCCTTGTTGTAGTCTATCCGTGTGAGGGTGCCCTGGATCAAATAGTTCACATTTTTGTACCACTGGGTTGAGCTGTCGTTCACAATTGTCCCCTTTTCAAGCTCTATTTCTTCTAGTGGGAGTCTCAATTCTTTCAAAGCCCGCTTACCACGTTGAGCAATAACATTCTGCTGGCTTTGGTTAGGAGACATCCTTGTGGTGCTTAGATATTTCTCTATCATTTGTTTGGTTTGGTTTCTCAAGCCTTCCAAGTTTTCTTCCTCCCCTTTTTTTGAGAAATGGTCCACGCGAATCTCTGTTGTATTTGTTGAATTATTTAGTGACCTGGTGTCTTGAATTACATTTTGCCTAGTGCTCAGTAAGAAAAGGTTCTTCATGAAATTCTTAGTGCCAGTCTCTGTATACACCTGAGGCAAAACTACATTCTCTTGTATTGTTTCATTCCTTTCCATTTCTTCCTGAATTTTTTTTTCTTGGTGGTGTGTATCATTTTCAAGTACATTAGCCAAGTTAGTAAGAGATATGTTTACGCCACTTGGAAAAGTCATTTCTTTGAGTCCTGTGTTCTTTGTCAATTCCTCTTCTCCTACTACACCTTTATTCCTCTCTGACAAGAAATTCTGATCGTTCACAGATTTTTCTGATGCTAAAGATATTAATTGCTTTGGACTGGGGCCTTGATCAAATCTCAGAGAGTTCTTTCCAAGGGTCCTTTTTATCCAATTTGCTGAATCTGGTGGCATAGGGCCCTCTTTTTTTAGGTGGACTCTTTCCATATTTTTGGATGAAGTAGTTTTATTCGATGTATAATTTAGCCTCAAAGCTGTAGTATTTTTGTCATGAATCAAAGACATCACTCTTTGAAACTCAGTATCACTTTCTAATATAGTGTCTTGCCAGACAGATGTACTATTCTCAGGTAATAATGTTGGGCCATCAATATGAAACTTTCTATTAGTTGCTGAATTATTGGATTCTTTGTTTGTCTTTACCAAGGAGATATTAACTTTAAATAAAGCATTATCTTTGGTCAACAAAGCAGACTCGTGAGCTCTTTTCTCTTTATATAACCTATCATTCTCCGTTGACAATACATTTTTTCCCAGTGAAATTTCTTGACTACTCATTAAAGCTGCTTCTAACAACTTGGAGTCATTATTGCCTTCGCTCAAGCTCAGAGGTACCCCAGACTCAATAAAGGGAGATGACATTTTGCCAAATACAGTGGTGTCTAAGGAACCTGCTGCCATATGGTCTGGTGAAATTGTTGGTAAAGTCATTAGATTATTTGATGAATTGGAAACTTTTAAATCAAGTTTCTTCAACTCTACTGCTGTAGTTGTCCCCAGAGTCTCACTGGGTCTGAATTGGAGGCCTGGCTCAGGAGTAAATACCATGTCCCCACTGTGATGGAGCTCTGGCCTGAGGCGTGCCACTTCAGATAGGCCCTTGTTGCCGTCTGTCACTCCAGGTGAATAACCATCAGAAATAATCTCATATTTGGCTTCGTGGAGATCAGATACGGATAACCTATATGGCGTAGGATCCTGTCCCAAGAGCGCCAACAAATCACTAGAGGAAACACTTTGTACTTTAAGCATCTGTGTTCGCTCTCCAAACTGAAGGTCAATCTTCTCTATGTCATTTTCTGGAAGTGTGGTGGTTTTAAATTGCTTTTGCCTGGTGCTAGGGTGCCTTGAATTCTGGGAGAAACTTCTAGGTTCAATGACGTTATTTTCATTTGGCAAGTATGTTGAAATATCTTCATATGTGTCCTCATAATAATCGCCAGTGTTCTTGTTACAACTAGAAACCTTCAGTAAGGCTGTCATGCCTCTGTTTCGAAAGTCTGAGTTGTGACACCCCAGAACCCACAGACCTGGAGATGAGGAAGAATAAGACTCTGGTTACTCATAACCCACATTCCAACAAAGTTCTGTGTCAAAGGTTCTCTCCCTTTCCCAGATAAATGAAAAAAATGCCAGTTAGTACCATTATAACATAGGTCATTGGGCTAAATCCCTGACACACATAATAGTGCAACAATGATGACATAAGTGGGGGTTTTTTTGCATTAGCGCAGTAGTGTTATGCCTGTTTGTGACCATGAGAAAGAGCTATGATAAAAAATTAATAGATATTGGGATAAAAATGTGAAAATGTAATTCATATACACAATAGTGGAGAGTCAATAGTCACAAATAACTCTCTGATGATGACAGTGACTTAATTCATTTATCAGCTGTGTGGCTTTGAGAAAGTCACTTAAGCTCTCTGAGCTGTAAGTTTCTAATTTGCAAATGAGGCTAATAGTATCTACCCCATCATAGAATACATTGAAATCACATTACATAATGCATAGCATTCACTGTCACCTATTTCCAGAATATAAGTAAGCACAAAGGAGCAGCATTTAGGTCTAGGACTCACCTAACATAAAACTCTACCACAGTGCTAATGATATTCATTTCTACTATGAGCAAGATTAGCCAATGCCCTGGTGCTAATGTAGATGCAGGGGCATATGGGACAAAATGCATATTTACCAAGTTACCCATCATGGAAAATCAACACCCTTGTCATCACACAATCTTTGCAGGCAAGATCTTAACTGCATCCAGCTTCCCCTCAAAAGGAAACCTTCTCCAAAGTATCTTCAGCAGAGCCCTGTGACATAATGAGATGTCCATAGACAAGGTTTCTATGGTCAAACACATTTCGGAATCACTGCACCTTTCTATGTGCATCCAAATTATGAATAAAATGGAAAAGGAAAATAAAAACACTGTTTTCATGTGCAAGGACTAAGAAAACCTACCTCTAATGCAACTAGTCTCAGAAAGTGACTGCAGAATGTTAGCCACCAAAATAAAGGAGTATATCAAACAAGAGTCGGACATAGGCTCAGATCCAAGAACTGGGCACCTATCCTGAGGAAGAATGAACAGAAGTCCCAAGGTGATAACTGAGCCTCAGGCCTAGAAAAAACTTAGAGACTGGTGCAAGGAGATGCACAGCTCCAGGAGGTCACAAGCTAAGCAAAAAGGAACACACTCTGTGATGGAATTCTTGAAAAAAGATAATAACGAAAGGAAGACATTATAAGAACAGGAAAGTAATGAGAAATTCTGGTTAGTTCTGGTGCATGCTTATAGTCCCAGCTACTGGGGATGCTAAGGTGGGAGGAACATCTGAGTCCAGGAGGTCGAGGCTGCAGTGAGCCATGATCACATCACCGCACTCCAGCCTGAGTGAGAGTGAGACCCCAGCTCTGAAAAAAAAAAAATAATTAAAAACATGTCTTAAATATTTAAAAAAAGAAGTTCTGATGAAGTTACTTATGAAAATTGAAATGTAATGCTATTTGGTTACACAGTAAACAGTATTTATTTAGTCATAAGAATGTGGTTTTACGAAAAATAGGGACATAAGTATATCATATATTTGAGGATTGGGATCCCAATTTCATGATATTTAAAGCATATTTTTAATGATGGAAAACCAGATCAGGATTGGAACTAAAATGAACAATTTAAATAAGGTTTTTTTATTCTTAAAATTCCATAGTTATAACTGAGACCAAATTACTATCTTCCTTTTCCTTAGGAGGACAGTAATTGGGTGAGAAAAGATGAAAGGCACGTCAGTAAACAGGTCTAGAATGACATACCAAACTGAAAACAGAGCTTAACTCTGAGATGGGCCTGGGATTAAGAATGGCAGTCAAGAGGGACTTTAGTTTTATCTGCATTGGTTGAATTTTTGTTATAAGAACATCTTTTTTACCCGGGTGTGGTGGCATGTGCCTGTAGTTCCAGCTGCTTGGAAGGCTGAGGTGGAAGGATTGCCTGAGCCCAGTGGGTCAAGGCTGGGGTGGCTTGAGTGTGCCACTGCACTTCAGCCTGGGCATCAGAGTGAGACTCCGACTCAAAAAAAAAAAGAAATCTTTTTGTATTACACATGTGACTAAAAACACATCAAAACATTATAATTAATTTATAAATCTCAATCTAAGAACTTAAAAAAGAGTTTGTGCTTTAAAGAAAAAGTCAATAAAATAGATAACAAAATAAAAAAATTAAGAAATGTCACATATATAAAATTTGAAACAAAAAAGATAAATAATTACAGATACAAAGAAAATGAAAATAATTAAAATTCCCGTGATGACATCTCAGCTGCCAATCTCCTTCTTCAACTTCTGACACAGGCATAAGCTACCTGGCCAAGTTTGGGACTTGGTCAGCACTACAGATTTATAGGCCAGCCTCCTGCCACTGTGATCTAACCAGGGTTTTCAGGGAACTAATTAATTCTATAAGTTGTTATCCACTCTTGGAACTAGTTACTATCAAAGTAACTCAGAGACACAGAGCCTAGCTGATTACAAGCCTGCACAGGAAGTAACAGGAAGTAAGAGGAGAGAGGCCACCATAGTAGAAACTAGAAATTGAACAGAGATTAGTTTACCTTTACTTTTCTTCTAGCTGTTGAGTTGAGAAAGCAATTCAACATCTACCAAGTAAACAGAGAATTAGGCTAAGAGCAAGTTGCTTATCCTCTTTGTTAACAAACCTTGGTCAGGACATATTTGTACCTTGTTTGAGGACAAGAGAAAGTATGCAACCTGTAAAATTTCTGCAGACCAAGGAGAAAAAACAAGACATGAAACTCAGAGGCAGTACCTACTTCTGAAAGTAATCCACTGTAGATTCTAGAGGAAAAGTGGGAACAAAAATCTTGGTATACCAAGATTAACACAAGAAGACATAGTTTCCATAACTTAAGATCAAAAACTATCTTCTATGTTTTAAAGTCACAAAGCGTATACACAAGGTACAATGGTAATTCAACTGGATGAAATAGAAAGGAAGAATTATAAGGAAACTTAAGACATAATGTCAGATTATAGGTTTGTGCATGTGTTCTAATAAAACTTTATGTACAAAAACAGGCAGCAGGCCAGACTACCTAAGGACCATAGTTTGCTAACTCCTGATGTAGATGGTCACCCATTGTGCCTTTCATGGAGCATCAAAAGATAAGCTGTTTTTAACATGGTGGAGAAAAGTCTGGCCTTTTTTCCTGTTCCTTTCAGAAATTACCCCAAAGGAAAAAAGACACAACAAACTTTTATCTTCACTTAAACCAGAAGACATCTGAAACCAGGAAACCAGGAAACCACAAAATAGAGTAAGTGCAGTCAATGTCAAACAGGTATCAGAAGATACCAAGACAAGCTGGCCACCGGGGCATAGCCAACGTGTACCTCTCTCACCAAGCAGAACAGAGAGGACAGACCCAGCTGCCAGTAAGCTCAGGTGGCTTGAATAGTTTGAGACAGAGGAAACACCCTGCATCCTGCAGAGGTCTCTTTGAATGCATTTGGATCAAGAAAGAGAGAGTCTGAAACTGGGGCACCCCATTCCTGCTGGGTGCCAGGCTCGCATAGGACCAGTAGCCCTGCCTTGTGTTCAAGAGGGGGTGAGTGCTCCTGACACAGTCTGGGTTGATTCCCTTCCTCCCAGCTGCATGTGGGTCATTGGTTCCATGTGGAAGGAGACCTGGTTAGGACACAATGGCTGCATCCGAAGCTCATGCAGTTCTGGGAACACACCCGCATTCTGAACGCCTCTGCCAGTCAGTCCCCAAGTGCATACTCCCCACCAGGGGCACCTGGATCTCAGACCAGGAAAGCTTACCTTTTATTTGCACTCACTCAGTGCCTGCTGCCAGTGTCTGGTGGCCAGCCTCCCTCTCCAGACCAGGAAGCTTTTCCCGCCAGCACCCAAACAGTGGGTCCCCCTGTGACAGGGAATCTACTGTTTTTCAAGCGCAGACTTGGTTGGAATTGGGGGAGATACAAAAGGCACCTGGAAGCACTGTTTCCTGGCAGGAATGTTTCTGGGCTGCAATGGATGAACAGCTGCCTGGGGGCCCTTCCCCCACCTGGTCCCCACATTAAGCTCCCAATCTGACCACAGAAAAAACTGCAAGAGAAAGTCACTGAGTGTGAAGCACTGCCCAGCAAGAGTTGTGGAGCAGAAGTGACTACCCCGCTCTCACTCCCGAGTGAACTATTTTGAATGGCAGAAAAGGCCCTAGGACACCAAGAGCTTATGTAGCTACAAAACAACAATACTAAAAAGTAACAATTAAAAGAGAGGAGATGCTCCTCACAGATAAGGAAGAACCAGTGAAAATACACCAGCAATCCTCAAAACCTTAAAGAGACATCACCTAAAAAAGCAGCTATCAGTTCCCAAACAATGGAAGCCACCCAGAACAACCTGTCCTTGATGAAAGTCACAGAATTCAAATATTGGATGACTAAAATGACTAAGAAAAACCACAAGAAGTTAGAAGAAAAGATCACCCAAGTCATGCAGGAAGTAAAGTTGAGTTGACCAATATGAGAAAGGTCCATTCCAAAATCCTGGAAATGATGAACTTCCTCTTGGAATTTCAAAGCACAATAACAAGCATAGGGAGTAGGTTCAATCAAGCAGAAAAAAGAATCTCAGAGCTTGAAAACTAAAATATGGAACTAATTCACTCTGTCAAAAACATAGAAAAAGGAACGAGAAAGCCTTTGAGAGGTGTGGGACTATGTCAAGAAACCAAATCTACACCTGATTGGTATCCCTGAAGCAGAAGGGGAAACTGAGAACACCATGGAACAAGCGTTCCATGATGTCATCCAAGAAAGTTTCTCACATCTCACTAGAGAGGTGACCATTCAACACAAGAGATTCAGAGAACCCCTCATAAGGTATCACATGAGAAGACCATCCCCAACACACATAGTAATATGCCTCAACAAAGTAAGCATGAAAGTAAAAATCCTAAAGGCAGCAAAAAGGAAGGTCAGACCACCTACTGAGGAAGACCCATCAGAATTGCACCAGACTTAGCAGAAACACTACAAGCCAAAAGGGACTGGAGTCCCACTTTTAATGTTCTCAAAGATAAGCAATTCCAGCCAAAAATTTCCTGCCCTGCCAAGCTAAGCTTCATCAGTGACAGATAATTAAAATTCTTCCCAGACATCCAATCCCTAATATGCTGCCTCTAAATCAGCCCTTCAGGAGATGCTTAAGAAGGTGTTGAACACAGAAACAAAAGAACAGTCACACCTATCACAAAAGTATAGGCAAGCACAAAGTTCACAGATCATATAGATCATTCACAGAAATGAAAATATACACACATATAAATACAAAAGGAAAAACTCCAATGATAGCCAAAAAACAAATACTCATATTAAAAATAGGAAGCCAGGCTTGGTGGCTTAGCCTGTAATCCCAGCACTTCGGGAAGCTGAGGCGAGTGAATTGCCTGAGCCCGCGGGTTTGAGACCCACCCATGCAATTTGGCGAGACCTCGTCTCTACAATAAATCAAAAACTAGCCTGGTGTGGTAGTGCATGCTTGTAGTTCCAGCTACTTGTAAGGCTGAGGCAGAAGGATTGCTGGAGCCCAGCGGGTCGAGGCTGCGGTGGCCGGGAGCAGCCACTGCACTCCAGCCTGGGCGACAGAGTAAGATTACAACTTAAAAAAAAATTGGCAAATGTTTGAATAGACATTTCTCAAAAGAAGACATACAACTGGCAGGTATTTGAAAAAAAATGCTCAACATCACTAATTATCAGATACATGCAAATAAAAACCACACTGAGATATTTCACCCCTATTACAATGACTTTTTGATCAAAGTTCCTCAAAAAACTAAAAATAGAACTACTTTATAATCCAGCAATGCCACTGATGAGTATATATGCAAAAGACAGGAGATCAGAGTGAGTATCAAAGAGATATCTGCACACCCATGTTTATTACGGTACTACTCACAATAGTCAAGATATGGAATCAACCTAAGTATCTGTCAATAGATAAATGGATAAAGACAGTATGGTTCATATACATAATGAAATATTATTCGACCATCAAAAAGAATGAACTTTTTTTTTTTGAGTTTGAGTCTCACTCCAGCACCTAGACTGGAGGACAGTGGCATGCTCCCGGCCACCGCAGCCTTGGCCTGCTGGGCTCCGGCGATCCTTCCGCCTCAGCCTTCCAAGTGGCCAGAACTACAGGCGCACGCTACCACGCCTGGCTAATTTTTGATTTATTGTAGAGATGAAGTCTCGCCAACTTGCCCAGATGGGTCTCAAACCCACGGACTCAGGCAATCCACTCACCTCGGCCTCCCAAAGAGCGAGATTACAGGTTGAGCCACCGAGCCCGGCCAAGAATGAGCTATTATTTGCAACAACATGAATGGAACTGGAGGACACTATGTTAGGTAAAATGTGCCAGACAGAGAAAGACAATTATCACATGTTTTCACTTATATGTGGGAGCTAAAAAAATTATTTCATGGGGATAGAGAGTAGAGTAGAAGAAATAAGGTCTAGTGTTCAGTAGCACAATAGGGCAACTATAGTTGACAATCTTTTTTTGTATATTTAAAAATAACTAAAAGAGTGGAAGTGAAATATTTCTAACACACATGATAAATGTTTGAGGTGATAGATCTCCCAGTTACCCTAATTTGACCATTGCATGTGTATGCTTATATGCAAGTATCACGTGTACTTCATAAATATGTGCAACTATTACGTATCTATAAAAATTAAAAATTGACCCTTGAGAAGTAAAGACAATTTTTAGAACAAAGACTTTTAAGTTAAATACTTTAGTTGGTGCTGTCTTTAAAATGCCTTGCAATTACCAAAATCACTTGAATGGTTTCATATCTGCCCAAATATGAGCCAGTAGGCCAAAAAGCGTATGAATGGTCAGTGAAGCATTCACAGCTGCTAGTAAGAGACTACGATAAATAACTAACCTGGGTTTTCCATTGACATGAAGACAGTTTCTCCTGAGAATGGGAATAGGGTAAGTGTGTCTTCATAAACCATTTTGTGTTTGAAGGTATATCCGGAGAAGAAGACAGAAAGGAAGTCAGTCTGTGCTCCAATGCTTAAAATGTACCAGTATGCCACCTCATGCAAACAAACGGACAACTGCAAGCTGTCAAAAACATAGCCATTGATGCCTGCAAAAGCAATGGGGAACAAGAGATTAGACAGTATCCCAGATTAATTATTTTGCATCGTGATTGTCATGATACAATTAGGAATTATTGTATGTCATGCCCATAACATAATTCCCGAGATATTATATCTTTCCCCAAAAAGTAGATTAATACTTAACCAGTTGTCTGAAGCCCAAAGTGAAGAGAAATAGAAAATACACAGAGGAGAAACCAGGAAAAAAAAAACCTTTGAGCTTAAAGTTAACATTTGGTAATGTTCTGGATGCAAGGAAATGAAAGAAGCAGGACAAATAGATGCTTACACCAGATTCCTGTTTCATAAGGAGTAAATGCTGTAAATGAAAGAATTGATTCATACAATTGAAATATTGGTTGCCAATTATAGAAACGTACTGTAACAATATTAAGTGTCCCAGATTTCATAACGTCACTGAAGTTACATAAGAGAAAAAAAATATTTTTTGAGTCGTGGTCTCACTCTATCACCCAGGCTAGAGTGCATTGGCACAATCGCGACTCACTGCAGCCTCCACCTCCAGGCTAAGGCGATATTTTTGCCTCAGCCTTTCAAGTAGCTGGGACTACAGGCGCATGCCACCATGCCTGGGGAATTTTTTTCAACTTTGTAGAGATGAGACTATGTTACCTAGGCTGGTCTCAAACTCCTAAACTGAAGCAGTTCTCCTGCCTCAGTCTCCCAAAGTGCTGGGATTACAAGTGTGAGCCACCATTTCTGTCCCCAGAATATCTTTATTCTCAGGAAATGTGTACCAAAGAATTGAGTGGCAAAGGCGCATGATGTCTGCAACCTATTTTCAAATAGAAATAAGTAATGAAAGTATGTATATAGAGAAAAAAGAAAATATAGCAAAATTTTAAAAATTGGTGAATCCAGGCAAAGGGTATATGTAAGTTCTGTGTATTATTCTTGTAACTTTACTGTAAGTTTTAAATTATTTCAAACTAAAGAGCTAAAAAAAAGCAACACAGGCCTTAGTCTACAAAAGGTATTGTTTCTGAAAACCTCTACCATACCTCCATCCACTCAATAAACATTTGTCTACTTTGTTACTAGTTATTGTGCAAGGTGGATGCCCATAAACCACTAAGCAATGCTTAAACCCTAGCTTAGGGCAACTAATTAGGAATCAAAGTTTCTTTTTCTAAACGGCATTGAGAGGTATGACAAAGTTATTGTAATTAAAACTGCGGTCTTCATGCAGTAATAGACTTATCAAACAATATAGAGTCCAGAAATCAACAAGATATGAGTGGTGTCAGGCAAGGTGGCTCACACCTGTCATCCCAACACTTTGGGAGGCAGAGTCGAGAGGATTGCCTGAGCCCAGGGGTTCGAGACCAGCCCGAGCAACTTGGTGAGACCTCGTCTCTACAATAAACCAAAAAATTAGCCAGGCATGGCAGTGTGTACCTGTGGTTCCAGCTACTTGGAAGGCTGAGGCAAAAGGATTGCCTAAGCCCAGCACATCGAGGCTGCAGTGGCCATGAGCATGCCACTGCATTCCAGTCTGGTTGACAAAGTGAGACTCTGACTCAAATTAATTAATTAATTAATGTATTTAAAAAGATATGAGTGGAAATTAAATATATGGTAAAGACGGCATCTCAAGCCAGTAGGAAAAAGAATGAGCTGTTTGGTAAATGATGGAAAATACGACCATCCATTTAGAAAAATAGATTCCATTTCATTTAGCCTCACTAACAACAGTAAACTCCTGTTAAATGAATCTCAGCTTGGCCTTAGGATGCCTCTGTACTTGAGTCCTTACTAACGGAGTGCCGTCTGGCTTAGTGCATTAACCAACTGAAAGCCTAACTTAGGAATACACTTTTGTAAAAAACAGCTGAGTCTCAGCCTATGACAGCAGCGGAGCTTCAGCCAGTCGTAGGAGGCAAACAGATTCAAATAAGTCCAACTTTATGCTGTAATCAATTAAGCTACATCTATATCTCATTTATGTTTCTATTCGTAAATACTGCCTGGCCATGTTGTTGGCTGGTGTTCTTTGAACTTCTCCTGGTTCTGAGGGCTGCTGGATTCTAGAATCATGAGATGAAGTCAATTAAGATCTTTAAATTTGTTGTAGTTTGGCTTTTTGACACTCCACATAGATTAAATAATTACATGTCTTTTGTGAAATATGTACTTGCTTCTTTTGGGTACAGTATTAGTCTGCTAGGGCTGCCATAACGAAGTACTACAGACTGGGTGACTTGAATGATGGAAATATGTTTTCTCATACTTCTAACAGCTAAAAGTTCAAGATCAAGGTGTTGTCAGGTTTGGTTTCTTCTGAGGTCTCTCTCCTTGGCTTGCAAATGACCACCTCCTGGCTGTGTGTTAGCACGTCTTTCCTGTGTGCACGTGCATTCCTGGTGTCTCCATGTGTACAAATTTCTTCACTTTATAAGGACACTAGTTGTATTGGATTAAAGCCCATTCTAACCACTTCATTTGAACTTAAATAGACCTTTAAAGACCCTATCTCCAAATACAGTCACATTCTGAAATACGAGGTTTAGGACTTCAACATACAATTTTGGGGGAAGGGTATGATTCAGCCCATAACAGTTATATAACTAACGGTAGATCTCCTGAGTCAATAGGGTATGCATATGTTCAGCTTTAGATACTGCCAAATATTTTCCCAAAGTAATTGCACAAATTTCCGTCTTTATCAGAAATGTATAAGAGCTCTGGTTGCTACTCATCTTTGTCAACACTTGTTAGGGTCAGCCTTTAATTTTAGCCATTCTGTTGTATATATAGTATCTTGTCGGTGGAATTTTTTAAATTTTCGTGGTTCATTTGCTAACTTGTGTATTGCTTATTTCAATTCACTGGAATGTAAGCTCCATTGAGCTTAATTACTAGATTGGCAAATTCTTCTCTGTCTAATCTTTTCAAAAATTTATTTTTTAATTGATAGGAAAAACAGTATCTATTTTTGGTATACATCACAATTTTTAAAATATATATAACATATATACATAGGAATGTCTAAATTAAACTATTTAACATATGCATTACCTCATACATTTATTTTTTCACTTGAAATCTACTCTTGTAGCAATTTTCAAGTGTACAATGGATTATTTTTTTTTTTTTTTTTTTTGAGTCGGAGCCTCACTCGGTCACCCAGACTGAAGTGCAGCAGCCGCTCCCGGCCACCGCAGCCTCGACCTGCTGGGCTCCGGCGATCCTTCCACCTCAGCCTTCCGAGTAGCCGGAGTTACAGGCAGGCGCTACCATGCCCGGCTGATTTTTTGATTGATTGTAGAGATGAGGTCTCGCTGCCCAGGCGGGTCTCGAACTCGCGGGGTCAGGCAATCCACTCACCTCAGTCTCCCAAAGGCGCGGATTATAGGCTGAGCCACGGAGCCCGGCTACAATGGATTATTAATTGTAGTCACCTTGGTGCACACCACATCTCTTTGTTTATTTCTTCTGTACAACTGGAATTTTGTGTCCTTTGACCAACATCTTCCCAATCCTCATCCTCCAAGATTCTGATAACCATTATTTTATTCTGTTTCTATGGGATCCCCCGTTTTTTAGATTCCACATATAAATGATATCAAGCTGTGTTTGTCTTTCTGTGCCTGGATTATTTTAACATAATGTCCTCCAGATTCATTCATGTTGTCACAAGTGGCAGAATTTTCTTTTTCTCTTTTGTAAGACTGAGTAGTATTTCATTGTGTGTGTGTGTATAATAAATATGTCACATTTTATTTGTCTGTTTATTTGTTGATGAACACTTAGGTTGATTCCATATCCTCACTGTTGCAAATAATGTTGCAATGCACATGAGATTGCAGATATCTCTTGATTTCATATCCTTTGGACATATTTGTAAGAGTTGGATTGCTGGATCATATAGTAGCTCTACTTTTTCAGGAACTTCCATTCTTTTTTATTTTTTTGAGTCGGATTCTCACTCTGTTGCCCAGACTGGAGTGCAGCGGCCGCTCCCGGCCACCGCAGCCTCGACCTGCCGGGCTCCGGCGATCCTTCCGCCTCAGCCTTCCCAGTAGCCGGAACTACAGTCATGTGCCACCACGGCCAGCTCCTTTTTGTTTGATTTATTGCAGAGACAAGGTCTCGCCAAGTTGCCCAGGTGTGTCTCGAACCTGCAGGCTCAGGCAATCCACTTGCCTCGGCCTCCCAAAGTGCTGGGATGACAGGCTGAGCCACCGAGCCCGCCGGAACCTCCATTCTGTTTTCCATAATGACTATACTAATTTACATTTTTGCTAATCGTGTGAAAAGGTTCCCTTTTCTCCCCATCCTTGCCAATACTTGTTATCTTTTATAATAACCATTCTAACAGGTGTGAGGTGATATCTCATTGTAGCTTTAATTTGCATTTCCTGATGGTTAGTGATGTTTCGCCTTTTCTTATATACCTGTTGACCATTTGGATTTCTTCTTTTGAGAGATGGCTATTCAGGTCCTTTACCCATGTTTTAATTGGGTTATTTGAGTTTCTGCCATGGAGTTGTTTGGGTTCCTGATATATTTAGGATATTAACCCCTTATCAGATGCATGGTTTGCAAGCACTTTCTTCCATTCTATACATTGTCTCTTCACTCCGTTGATTGTTTCCTTAGCTGTACCGAAGCTTTTCAGTTTGATGTAATCCCAGTTGTTTATTTTTGCTTTTGTTTCCTTTGCTTCGACGTTACAGTAAAAAAGTATTTGCCCAGACCAATGCCATGGAACTTTTCACCAGTGCTTTCTTCTACTGTAGTTTTATAGTTTCAGATCTTAAGTGAAAGTCTTTAATGCATTGGTTGATTTTTTTAAATGGTGTGAAATGAGGGACTACTTTCATTTTTTATATATATACCCAGATTTCTCAGCACCACTTATTGAGAGACTATCACTTCCCCTATTGTGGTGCTCTGTGCATCTTTATTGAAAATCTATTGAACGTAAATGCATACATCTATAGTTCTGGGCTATCCATTCCGT